TCGAGACAATGCCTCTATAAAGGCGCAAATCGAAGAGCTGGAGGCCAAGATCAATGCCAATACCAAGCGCAAGGAGGGGCTTCTCTCAACTGTTTCAGACACAGAGAGCCAAGCTGAAGTTACACGAGGCCTAGAGTTTGCTGAGAAGGCCCAAGCCTTCGATGACCAAATTGCTAAACTTTCCCAGGCTACTGCCTTGTGTAACAAAAGACTGGAGTTGCAGCAGGCCAAGTACCTTCGACTTAGAGATTCTATCCCCTTCTAAATTACTCAGCCATTTATTAACCATGTATTGTAATATTTATTTGACAATGTAACCATTTTGGCTAATTCTTATAAAATTTTCCATTTTGGCTATTTATGGTTAATTTGATCATTACTTGCTATTTATTTTGATCTCTTGGAGCATAGGTTTATACTTTTTCAAATATTTTCCATTTACTCTCAAGAGTCTTTTATCTTCACCTAATTCTTCGACTTCATAAGCTCCACCAGAAAAAGTCTGGATAATTCTGAATGGTCCTTCCCATTTCGGTGACCATTTTCCCATGCTTCGATCCCTTCGATCCATGGGGAGAATCACCTTCCAAACTAATTCTCCAGGCGAGAATGCCTTAGGTTTTACTTTTTTATTGTAAGAGTCTTCCACTCTTTTCTTCTGAATCCTTAGTAGGTCGAGAGCGCGTAGTCTCTCTTCGTCTAAATCTACTAGTTCGTCTAACATCATATCCCAATAAACCTCAGAGGGGATATCATGATGTCTCTGAACCCCTGCAGATTGAAGACAAATTTCCGCTGGCAACACTACGTCATGACCAAAAGTTAGCGGATATGGTGTTGTACCTATGGCTTCTTTTGGGGACGTTCGACAGGCCCACAAGATCTGGTCTAACGTCTTATGCCAATTTTTTGGCTTCTTCCCTACATGCTTTTTTATCAAGCCAATCACTATTTTATTCGCTGCTTCGACTTGACCGTTCGCCTGTGCATAATAAGGCGTTGATGTTAGGAGTCTAAAGCCTGTTTCTTGAGCGAATTCCTGCATCTTTCGACCGGTGAAAACTGATCCTTGATCAGTCGTTATAGTTTCAGGGATTCCAAACCTAAAAATAATGTTCTTTTGAATAAATTCAATGACATTTTCTTGGTCTACATTGACTAAAGGAATAGCTTCGATCCACTTAGTGAAATAATCAATGCCTACCAATATATACTTCTGGCTCTTTGATGATGCTGGTCGAATCTCTCCAATAAGGTCCAATGCCCATCCTCTAAAGGGCCATGGTTTCACTATTGAGTGAAGTTCGCTTGCTGGTACATGTTGGATGCCTGTATGGACTTGACATTTTTGGCAACCCTTCGCGAACTCGACACAATCTTTCAAGATGGTGGGCCAGTATAGTCCTTGTCGAAACAACAACCATTTCATCTTATGGCCTACTTGGTGAGCCCCGCATGCTCCAGCGTGCGTAGTCGAAAGGGCTATGTATGCTACAGTCTCACTTAAGCACTTTAGCAATACCCCTTCAGGCATCTTTTTAAATAACTCATTACCCATGAGTACGTAACTCAACGCCCTATATTTTATTTTTCATTCTGTCGAAGCTGCTGAATTTTGTAGATAATCCACAATGGATTTCCTCCAATCTTTCTCTGACAAATTGTCTATGAACGATATTTCGAAGTTCCTTTGATCAGCATACCCTAGTCTTGTCGATTTCAAGTCTGTTGGTGACAGACAAGTTGCTTTTATTTTTTCTCGGACTTCGATTGCTCTTTGTAATCTCGTTTTTGAAATTTTGTACCCAGATGCAATTTGTGCCAAATCGTTGGCTATTTGATTTTCCAATCTGGGTATGTGTCTGTTATACCCCAAAATTTGCCCTCCCATTTTCCTCAAGAAATTGCCAAGCCAAGCTACAAAATTCCCCAAGGGTTATGCAGTGCAACAGTCTCCCATACAGTCAAAATTAGGGTTTTGAGTCTGATCAAGAAAAGGAAGTGTTCAAAGGCCCAATCAAGTCTCATATGCTTACAAACATGGTCAAGCATCCTCATATCAAGTTTCAAGGCATTCAGCTCAAAATTGCACAGTCAAAACCCTAAATTGCACTACAGTCAACTGTAGGGGCAAAATGGTCATTTGGCAGTCAAAAGTTCAAATTTTTGGTCAACATATCATTTTGAAGCCACAAACATCATTTGATCAATGCTTGATCATGATTCTCCAAATTTGGCTCAGAAATCATCAAAGATGCAAAGGTTGCTATATTTGGACAGCTGAAAAAGTCAACTGAAATTGACCAGGGCATAACTTTCACATGGATTATCAGAAAAATCCCATCCAAAGCTCATTTTGAAGAGAAAGACATTTCCTACAACTCATCTTCATACTTCAAGTCCAAGAAATGCTCTCACAAAAAGTTATCAATTTCAACATTATAGGTCATTTTCAAAAGTCAACAAAAAGGGACTTTAAGTCAAAGGCCATAACTTGAGATTGGTAAATCAAAATGACATGGGACCAAAGTCATTGGTTAAAGGACTCAAAGAACTTTCCAAAATGTCCAAGAACATGTGAAAAGATTAAAAATTGAGCAAGTTATGCCTTGTAGAAGTTGGGAAAATTTTGTGAAATGGCAAAAGTCAACTATCCTTGAAACTCCAATTTTTGACAAAAGGGCCCACTTTCTTCCATTTGATTCATCCTTGTCATGCCACACACGTGTCCCATGATTAATTTCGAGACCAAATATTGATTTTTCTATTTTATTTAATTTTTGATAATTTAATTCATTTTAAATCTTTAAAAATTCAAATAAAATTCAAAAACCAATGGAATAGTGTCATTTGAATTTGGACAACTTCCATATATCATGGGCCAACTCAAAAACTCAGGCTAGGGTTAAAATGCACACTAAGTCTTGGTCTTGGCTTAAAAGAAGGAAAAATTTGTTAATGAAAAAACCCTAGGACTAGTTCTCTCATGAGCATGAATCTAGGTCAGCTAGCAAGCCAATTCTCTTCCATCATAAGCACCAAGTCAAACCCTAACCATAACACATCAAAGGCTGCGCTAAAAAGCTGATTGCAACATTGAAATTTTTGGATAAAAACACAAAACTGATTTCAAAGTTGGAAGAAGTTTTAAGCCTTAATTCTTTTTCTAATAGCTTCCTGGACCATTTCTGAACACATCCCAACTCAAAACATCCATCCAAACGCGAAGAATCGGCAGCAAGGACCTCCCCTGTACAGAGAAACTTTTGAAATCCTATATCATAATTCATACATTCTTTTGCATTTTGATTTGTGAATTCTTGTTTAATGTGAAGTTTACAAGCTAACTGATGTATTCAATTGAGTTTTCAGTGGCCATATGCGATTCTACCATTTTCGAATATTAGGGTAACAAGGTTTTATTTGTGAATTCTTGTTTAATGTGAACCCTATTTTTTTGAGACTGATTACCGAGTCTTCTATTCCTGTAAGGGGGAGTGGAGTGAGTTCATGGAGCGAGGTAGCCCCGCAGGGAACCCGGATAAATTAATCTATAGCTCAAGTGAAGTGACCAAAGAAGCAAGACTAAGCGCAAAAACAGAGATCGAAAACCCAGGACCAAAGTGTTTTCGTGTTATTAGCGTCTAGGCCGAAAAACTCGTGGCTAAGGTCCATGCACACTAGTTCAACGCGCTCACGTAAAACACACGAACTGAACTAGCAAGATTAGGGTTTGGTTTTTAAGACGGCGCAGACTCAAGGAAGAAGTTTGCTTCAAAGCTAGAAAGGCTTAATAAGCGCATCTCCAGTACACTGAGCTTACACCTTATAAATTTTCAGCACATTTTTACGAACATTATTATTTATTATATTTTCATAAGTAGTAAAGATTTACAACTAGGGCTTTTCCCATACCATACATGCAAACATAAAAAATAAAACCAAACAAAGATAGTTAGCATAGATAGGAGTCTATCTCCAGTAAGCATCCGGAGTAGATCTCAACTAAAAAAGACAAAGAACACCATACATTAAAACACACTACTTTGCGTCTACAGACACTTATTTAAATCTTCTAGAAAGAGTCGACGGACCCTTTATGAAGCTTACGCACACATAGACAAACCAGCCACACAACTAAACACAACATTACAACAAAGTAAACAAACAACATATTAAGTTAAAAGAAAAGCAAAAACAAAGGACTTCTTAGTAGTTTCCCCCAGGTCTCCTGCGGATGATGGAGGCCGCCCTGATAAGCAGCAATTCGCGCTCTCGGATGAGAACCCTCCTTTGTTCTTCCAGAGCGCGAATGTGGTCCCAGAGCTCTTGTATCCGCTTTACCAGGACCTCCTCCTCGACAGGAGGCATGTGCTCCCAGAAGGCAGCCAGGGTTTGCTCCTGCTGGAGCTTTGCGTTCTCTACATTAAGAATTGCTTGCTCAATTTGAAAAAGCGTTAAAGTGGTAACTGGTGGATCCATATCTATCTCCCCTTGCTTTGCCAAATAGAGAAAGCAGCTTCTATTTATAGACGTGGGAAGCTCTAAGCGAAAAAAAAAGAGTCTTTCGTTTTTCGCGGGTATCGCCACGTGGCTTAATCCCGAAAACTCTTTCAGGAATATAACTTAATAATATAGCGCACATCAGAGAAGAGAGTAACCCCCTTTATAATATAATAAGAGAGGCCCCCTGCGTCCTTTCTTCATAGATGGAGCAATCCTCACTCGACAGCTCGAAAGCGGATCAGTACAAACCCACGTGATCCGTATTCGCTTACGTACCAGGCGTGCTTCGTCGTAGCCTGACTACTCCTCTTTCACTGGCTTCTACTTGTCTTTTACTGGCTTATTTGTACCCAGCTTCATGATTTAACTCCCCTCGGCCAATCGTCACTCGACAGCAGCTCCGTCCTAGCGTAGGCTGAAGAAGTAAAGCCTCTGCCTCTATCGCTTGATTGAAAGGATCAGACACTTTCCCCTACTTTTGACAGCAGAACGAATTATATTATTAATATAAGTAAGGTAAACTTGCTTTTGCCGATTGCACTCGGATAGCGGCCTGGGCCGTCCTGGAATGGTAAAAAATAAATTAGATGGACTGGACTTCGATGGGCTTTGTTTGGAAAGCCAGGAAAAGGTGGCATTTCCGAGCCAGGGCTGAAAATGGATCTGAATGCTAACATTGGGCTAACCTTCACTCCAATAGAATGGGGAAACGAGCAGAAGCATATTTTGTCTGCCATCCCTCAGGGCAAATCCGTGTTCATCACAGGCTCTGCTGGGACTGGTAAAACCCTATTGCTTGAGGAAATAAATTACTGAAAAAAATTACCAATATGTGGTTTTGTCATACAAAAAGATCCAATTTGTTTGGACTCGTTAGGTTTGGCCCATTACCTTGAGTGAGGCCGAACGTGTACACCTTTTGTTATGAAGATGTGATCTTATCCACCGACGGGTCTTGTTCTAAGCCCAACCCTCTCGTCTTAGGGTAGGATATCCAGAAACCTTAAATCACGGGAACTTCCCCTTTTTGGTAGACAGCCTATGTTGGGCTGACTAAGCCCACTATCCTACCTAATAGGGTCCCATCTTGTGTCGGGTTAAGGGCGCTTAGTGGAACCCTATTTCTTCACTTGTAGTCTAGGGCTTTGCTTGGCATTGGGCTTCGATATAGCTTGCTTTCCTGGTTTTGGATTAAACCTCTGCTCTCCTAATTCAGTCTATAGGCTTAGAATTTAGCCCAGAAAGACACCTTGCTTAGCATCCAATTGCTCGACTCGATGGGTACTTATAGTGGTTTGCCGGAGAAGCTCTTGTATTTCTTTAAGGAGTTGGTTAGTGGCATAGACACCTCTTAACTCTAAATCGAATATTCAAGAGACTAAAAAGATCGGGAATGCACATCTAAAAGGAGAGGAACTTAACTCGCAAAAAAGAAAAAGAGAAACGATAGACAGAAAGAGAAGGAATAGCGGGCAAAGCGATTCCAATGCTTAACGAATGGACCAATCCAAGACTTGGAATGCTACCAGAATCGACAGCAGCTCTTACCTTACTAGCACGATACCGAAATGGCCCTTAGCCGACTAAAGGCTACAAGACTGCTTCTACACCTACTACCCTCACTCTCAGATAAAGACAGAACGGACAAGAACTACTTTTACATCCTCAAGCTAGAAAGAGGATAGGCTATTGGGGCTTCCTGCGAATTCTGTGGAAGGTAACAAGACTGTAGAATATTCGAGGGACCACAAAAAGGGGAAGTCAACTGTTGCCTCTAAAAGGGCCCGGATACCGCCTAAACCAGTGCAAGGTTGTATTCCCAAGGAAGCTAGCATAGCAATAGGGAATCCATCTAGTATTGACTAAGGAAAGATGGTGCTGGGGGGTCCCACTAAGGTGAATGTTATTGAACCTTCTCATGCAAAAAAGCCATGCAAAGAATTCCTTCTACGTCCATTGCTACTGTAAGACCACCAACAGGGGGAGATGAGCAACATGTGGGGCCTACACACTTGGAACAGCCTCGCCAAGAGTCTGCACAGGCCCAGGAGTTAGGTTCTTTTATGGAGCTTTTAAAACACCAGTTGCAGTAGGAAGAGACCCCCTGACCCAGGGTAAAACATCTGTCCTTATCGCTTTATAGTGCCACAAGAAGTGACAGAGGTAGAGGGAGAGGTCAATTCTCACTAAACGTTCCTCTAGTAAGGCACCATCACCAGCGCACATGAGAAAAGGCCAAGGAGAAGGTGAGAGGAAGGTTCAAACACCAGGCTACACAGCCCTAAACTCAAGCAATGATTTATTGTAGCTATTGAGTTTAGTACACCGTACTCAAACCTATACCCACTCTCATACCCTACGGTAAGTGAAAGGAAGCAGTACATTCCACTTTTTAGGGAGGAGCTGAAAGATAAACCTTCCTCTTGAAACATGGGGTGAAGTATTGGGGAGTTACACAGCCACTGTTGGTCTTATATCCCTACCACCAAGACCAACAGCTGCGGATTCAATAGCATCGGCGAGAGAGATAATTCCTATTGAGTTAGCTTTCCTGGGGAAGAGGATATTCTATAAAGGCTATACCACGACCACCCCATAAGCTACAGCTTCCCCTGCCGGAGTTGTGCTTGGTGGAATTCACGCCTCAAATCATCACTTTCTCACCGACCTTTACCCATGCTAAACGTGTCCCAGTTTACTAACGAACCGGTGACGTAAAGCTTCTATTCTCAATTTATCCTTTCTTCCCCTCTGCAGCCTCACAGTTGTCTTTGATTTTATTGCCCATCGATAAAGGAATGACTCTTGGTGAGCCAATGAGCTCAAATCAAGCTAGAGAACTTCCTGAACCAGATAGTGTGACGGCGGAACTTATTGCTATCTATCAAATCCCAGAGTTTAGTTAAGAACCTCGTAGGCCGGGAATGCCATAAAGAAGCCTTTTCCTCTCGGTGTCAGTGTCAGCCAAGTTAGCATCGGCTTCCCCAAAGCCATAATTTTAAGCTGATGACATTGATGAGTGATCCAACAGTCTTGAGTGGTAGTTCTCAAAGGAGAAGGGATCCGAGGTACTAAGTAGCTATGGAATGAAGGCGAACTAAAAGCTTTCTCCCATTCTCCTCCAGGCTCTCCTCTGACCACGAGTGGCGTACTCTGATATGAGTAGATCAGATCAGAGTACCGCGCCAATGTCGTTTAAGACAGCTGAGTTTGACAGACTCTGTACGGGAAGAAGGGCGGGGACACTCAGAAAATTATTCTTATTAATCACAGGTATGAGTTTTAGGGCGACGGGCCTACGCCTACTATTAGAAGTGCCCATCCTTCTCTCAGGTATTCTTTCGACCGCGTCTAAAAAAAGAAAAAACTTGACCTTTTTAAAGACATCCCTCGAGCTCCGCAGCTTTAACACCGGATGGAAGTACGGTCAGATGAATAGAACCAATACTATCTCAGCGACTATAGGTCGGTTGACGGCAAGGAAGGAAGTTAAGTTTTCCCCTATCCTGTATGATTTAGAAAAGTAGGGTCTGTAGGCAAGTCTATTGACTTGTTACCATTTATCTCCGCCATTCAAAGAGAAAGACCCGGCGCATCTCTTCCCTCTTCGAGCCAACCGTTCACTTCCTCTAACGAGCGAGTCAATAAAGTTAACCACTTACTACGTTCTTTCAGAACCTGAGATTCCATGAAATAAAATAATGATCCTCAGGAGCAAGAAGATGCTCCCAAGCGACCCCGGGGATCCAGCTCACTATCCGCCGTTATCCCTTTCCATTCCTACCCTATTCTCCATTCTTATTAGGCAGTCGCCATCACAATCGGAGTTAAGTTCCTCCTTCTCGCAATTAGAATCTAACTCGGAACCGTAAATCTCAACTGGAAGACTATTTGACATGGAAGAGTCACTGCCTAGGCGTACAAAAATATCCTTATTGTGGTATGCTCCTATATCATCCTACTGATCTTTTTTCGACAGCGCACTGACGGTGATATGCCTTTAACTTTTTGAAATACCACGACTGGAAAGGGGCTTGCTAAAGCCCATAGGCCTGTGCATACGTGAGGAATGTATTCTTTCTTTCTCAGGCGGGGCTCCGAAGTTGCCGAAAATCGTCCGCTATTAGATAGATGCGCCTTATCCGGTCTTTGCGGAATAACCGCAGTTGGTGGTTTAGTAAGGGCATTAGGAAAAGGCGTAACCGCTGTTTTAGAGATAACTAGTTACTTTATTACCTAAAGTTCACTTATTTGTAGCCTACCACTAGCTTTTTCTTTTTTGGAGGAAGCTAAGCCAAGTCCAAGATTATGCTGTAAGGCATCGATTTCCGGCCGATTGCCTTCTGCAAAGGTCTCATATTCTTTGACAGATTCTCTATAAAGAGTACGGTACGGATGAGAAGAACAGATAAGGGTCTTGCCCGATCTTCCCTTTACAGGTAGGATATGTGTTCGATAGGAACGTCCTAAAAATGTGGGGCGCGTTCCGTCTATATCAGTTAATATGCTGCTGGAGTTGGATTCTTTGAGCTGTTAAACAATAGATACATGGGGGTTTTAATAACGCCAGATCGGCACATCAATAGCAGCAGACGCAGAGGAAGAAATCCTTGCTCTTCGGGCTAAGATGCTGACTTTGCCGTGGAAAGAGTAATGAGAGGAAAGCCTTGACCTTCCCTTGTTCTACCCTTCGAACTCGGAGATTGAAAGGTGATTGAAGAAGATCACTCTATGCAGCGACAGAGGCAAGATCTCTATATGTTGATAGGACTGAGTCCCCCTTTAGAGATAGGGGGAAAGATAAAGCAATCGGCAGGGAGGCATTACTTCCACACGGAAAAAAAACGTGCAACCAACCTTTCCTTCCTCCTCTTCTGGGCATGTCTTACTAGTGTAATCAGTCCCTTGCTTTCCTTCCCCGCTGTCACTTCGCCGGAAAGAAGTTCCTTCTAATTAGATAAGGGATATGCTTTTGTAATAGCAATTGGATGCTTTCTCAACACGGATTCCAAGGCTTATTCACCATCAAGCGCGGTAAGAGCTTCTATTTACTCAAGAGCGGCTAGTCTTGCAGCGGCAACTGCTTGAGCTCCTACTCTCACTGCGGTTACGAAGACAGCAAAGGGATATTGAAAAGAGGGAGCACAAGAGCTCTGAGTCATCCAACAAGGCTTACTGGAAAAGACTAGAAGAGTAAGGTCATCAGTCCCAGAGCCTATGAGTGCTATGCAAACAGCACTGATTCACCAGAAAGACCGTGACGGTTCATGTCCAGCTCCTTCTATTCTATAGTTCCTTCCCCCTTTCCTTCACCACCAGCTGGAGCGCAGTCTTCGCCGGTCTCAAGGTTATCAAAAAGACAAGACCGATAACGTGGCTACGAGCTCTTTCCTTACTCAGACAGACCCCAACCCCAAGCGGGCACGGTGACAAGACTTTGATGCGGGGTTCGGAAGATAGGCTTGCAACGGATTCAACCGATCGATTCCCCGTGGCATATAAAGATTGGCGAAGCATAAGGTTAGTAACATCGGTGCTGATAACTTCCTTTTCTCCTTCGGGGGTGGGCTTTGTAGGAGTTGGGCGAGATGCAAGACTTTTTCCTCAAGGAGTTAGAGCAGAAGTTGTTTACTCGTATAAAAGAATAAGACCGGCTTACCATTCTATTAAATAAAATGAAAGGGTTGAGAGTGGATTCCTTTCTTCAATGCATTCCACCGAGGCGACTAGGGCACCTTTTTTGTAAGAGACGCTCAGCTCAAGCCAACTTCTATCAGTTCAGGCGGAAGGTCAGGGGGAGTGGTACAATTAGGCCTTCCCTTCGGTATGCTATATCAGTATGTAAAGTGAATTTATCTCGTAGGCCCGCTTTTGAAACTTCTGGTTTGAGGGACTTCACCGCTAACGAGCATCGATAAGCTGTCGCAAGCAATCAAAGCGATTCCCTTCCTTATTCTAATAGAAAAGGTAATCCGGGCCCTCCCCCTGTCTACAGCTATGCTATCTCTATCACTGCTAAGGTCAGGTTTTTTTT